GACATAAATGTTATTAGAATTTAATATAATTAAGATAATAAATTTTCGAATTCGAGTTTTTTTCGTTATTCATTATAATATTTTTTGCATTTTCTAAGAACATTTACCATAGTAATGTATATTTTTTTACACCATCAGAAAGTAGAGATTTCAACAAACAAAAAGCACACCGACTTTTTGAAAAAAGCTGATATTTTGACGCGAGAATTTTCGATTGAAAATTAGGGTGCTTTTTTGATATTAAGTCAAAATAAGGCGAAATAATAAATATTTCAAATCAAATAAATTACAGTGTATTTGGGACATAAAAAGGTAAGTTTTCACCAAATTTCGTGGAAAAATTTTTTTTTTTGAAAAAGATAAAAATAAAAAACCAAAAACTTGGTAAACCTTTTCTATAGTGGACCTTGGTGTATTAAAACGCCTTGTATATCAAGTAACTAGACTTTATATTTACTTTTGTAAATAACAACGTTATTTAATTGATAAGTATTTATTTTAAACCTAAAATGTCCTCATCTTTTCACACTTTGGTGCTATGTCCACAAATTCCTATCTATCGATCCACTGTGCGTCGTCAACATACATTTCTTCTGTTAATATTTGGGCTCCTAATGGGTAAATGTGCCCTTCGTCTTGAGCTAGCTGGTGAAGGACACGGGTAGCTAGATACGGTGACGGGCCTAATCCGAAAGTGACCGCCGTTAACTCGTAAACACAAATCTCCCCCGTGCCAGGATCTCTCCAAAAGATGCGTTGATATTTTCGGTCTTCTGGTCTGACGCATACCTGACGATACATTTTTTCAATGTCGGCCATGAATACATAACTATATAATCTAAACCTAATCAGCAGGGAAAATAAATCTGCGTGAATAGTTGGCCCAACATGAAGTGCTTGATTTAAAGATATACCGGTGCTCGTCTCTGCTGATCCGTCAAACACCACTCGGACTTTGGTTGTAAGACTTCCTTCCTTTATAACGGCGTGATGAGGTAGATAATAACCGGTGTCGTTAGGTTGATCGACCTTGGTCATGTGTCCTAGTTTTAAATATTCTTCTAAATTCTCAGTATATGCTTGTTTTAACTCTGGATTCCTTTTCAATTTATGTTCGAGGTTTTTGAAACGATTAAAGGCTCTATTGCGTGACTCCCCCAATTCCATGAGTTTGTCATTAAGAGGTAACGCTACGGTATAACGTCCGGTTTCATCTCTGGTTAAATGTTCGATAAAATGTTGTTCACAGGTTGTGTTGTCATTTGGTTTAACAGTTGTCGGTTCGATTTGTTCAATCTGCCAAAATTTTTCCATATCAAAATTTAGACTGGCTAATTTACACCTTGGTCGCGGCAGTGGTTGATCGGTAGGTATTTTGCCGCCGATGACCCAGCCCAGTCGTGTTTTTTGCAGGTATAATTCTGCCTCCTCTGAGATAGATATGTTCATTTGTCCAATACACATGATAGAAAATGCGATGGCTGTGTCTAACAACATATCTATTGGCGCTGGTTTGTGAAATAATGGGTCGGCTAATTTAAGGTTTCTCGGTATTTTTATTGCTGAACGGTTAATTGGTTGGTCTGGTACTAATTGGGTTATTTGTGGCACGGTAAGAAATTGCAATGCTCGTTCGTATTTCCCATCAATTGAACGAATTGTAGCGGTTATCATGTGGTTGGTTGTGGTGCTACTAGTGCCCAGCCCTCCGACTTCGACTGCGCATCTCCTTTTTGGTAATTGCAATTTTTTGGCTAATTCCTCGGTTATAAAGTTGGTTGTTGAGCACGTGTCGATTAGAGTCCGACATTTGATTGGATTCTGTCGTTGATCAAACACATTGATTACAGCAGTCACCATGAGATGGTTATAAAAAGGGTTGACGACCAGTGTCGTATGTCTCCGAGCTTGTGTGGTGGGCGTTATGGTATCTAGTCATGCGATCGGTGCCTTTCGTGTACCTGTCGGTTCTGCACTGTGGTTGTCGGGTTTTACGTGATCTTCCGGCCTGGGAAAATGAAGTAAAGTGTGGTGTCTCTTACTGCACTTGAAGCAGGAACTTGATGTGCAGTCTTTAACACTGTGGGTTGGACTGAGACAATTGAAACACAGCGAGGCCCCTTGTATAATCCTTTGCCGTTCATCAACTGCTAAAGCCAAAAATTTTCTGCATTTCCTCACAGTGTGTGCTTCGTTGCATACAGGACATGGTATATATTGGTTTAACACAAATGCTTGCTTAGAGGGGTGTGAATTTCGATTATGTGTCGCGTGATTCTTTCCCTGAACTTGGTTGTTTGTCGTTTTGTTGTGACCTTGCCTACAGTTCGCTCTTTTACGAATAAAATTTAATAAATCAATGAATGGTGGTGTCTTGGTGTCATCCGTCAATGATATTTCCCATTGGTCTGCGATGTTTGGGTGAATTTTTGATATAATTAGTTCATTTAACGGAGTGTTCCAGTGTTCTGTTGGTTCTCCAAGATTGTTCAATGCCTCAACGTGTTGTTTTACATTATCAATGAAGTCATTCAGACCTTGATTATTGGCCACCTTTGGCAGTTCTCGCAATTGTTCCCAATGTGTTGCTATGATTTTTTGTGTGCACTCGTATCTTTCCTTTAACAACTTTATCGCGGTATGGTAATGTGCGTCAGTGATTGATAAGGATTTAATGGTGTTTGGTGCTGTTCCAGTGAGTGCTGCTTTGAGGTATTGTAATCTTTGAGAGTCGTTCAAGTCATCGCGGTTGTTGACAATGGACGTGAACGAATTATAAAATGACGTCCAATTCTCAAAGGCACCGTCAAATTTTGGTAATGGGATGTCGGGTAATTTGACCAATGAGGCGGCTGATATTTGACTTGTTTGGACAGTTATGGGCGATTGCGATGCGGCCGGGGTTCTCGTGGCTTCTACAATTCTTCTTTTCTTGTTAATTTGCGCGTTCAAAAAACAGTATGCTGCTTGCAATTCGAAGCGTTTCTCTTCTTCACTCGGTTGTAATTTTTCTATGTCATCTTGAATATCGTTAAATCTCTCCCAGTGTTTTGTGACTTGCTCGAACATGGTGATTAAATAGTCGACGTCTTGATCTGCTTCTTGTGACGGGTTTTGTAACGTATTTGTTAATCTCGTAATTTGGCTTTTAATTGTACCGCGTTTGCGGTGAAGTTCCGCCAGCACTGCTCTTTGTTCAACGGTTAGGTTTGGGTTTGTCATTTTTTTTTTGTTTTAATGCAGGTTAACACAATGTAATATGGAAATGACTGGTGGTTTACTACTAACGAACTTACCCAGTTGCTGGATTTGCTCGAGCCTTGCACGTCTCCTTGGTTGGTTGCTGGTTTCTGGAGCGTCCTAGCTTGGTATCAAGATTGCTTGGTTTTTCACACTCACTCACTCAGATTGATTCCAGTTGTTGGATTTGCTCGAGCCTTGCACGTCTCCTTGGTTGGTTGCTGTTGTCTGGAGCGTCCTAGGTTGGTTTCAAGGTTGCTTGGTGGTTCACACTCACTCACTCAGTTTGATTCTATCCGGCTCGAAGGACCATATGTTTAAATTTCAACACTCGCGTCGCTATAAATTCTGGATACGAAACGTTGAAACTTGTTTCCTAATTTGCGTGTGGGAAATTAGGATGATTGGTGTGAAATAACAAGTTAGGGTGTAACTTATTAAAACAGAATCGTATATTTGTTTATAATATACAAAGAAATAAACTGAAGTTACAATCGGGCACGCAAGATGCTGCGTGTCCGTCTCGGTTGACGATGTTATTGCGACTTATTAAACTAATGATCACTTTTACAAAACTAAACTCTAAGGGTAGTTGGTGGGGGGAATTCAAGGGTGGGCAATGGTTCTACATTGTTTGCTTAAAATTAGAGAGGTAATAAAAAAGGTAAACGGAAGAGGCAATACATTTTAAGTATTGCCAAGGTTTAAGAATTACAAATCGTGATTATAAACTAATTTAGGGGATTAACAAACTTTCCGAGCTCGAACTTAACAATTAATGTAGTAAACTAAGGTAGAAATTACTAAAATTCTCTAAAGATACAAATTTTTATGATGGTCAGCATTGTATATCCACAATATTAACTAAAATTTTTATACCTATATTTACAAAGTTTATGGCTTCAAAACAACCATTAATAATTTAACACGTACTTTTTAACATTCATAATAAACAGTAGTATAAATGTGTAAAGCACTAGTATAAAATTTTTAGTATAAATTTGTGTTTACTTTTAGCAACAAATTTCTTTCAGTGTAAATAAAAAGGTATATCCTAAAAGTTTTGGGCTAAAACTTAGTTACAAAAGTTTACAAAAAATATTTAACACGCACAATTTTAAACTAATTATCTCTACAATTTGACCAATAGCGAAAATGTTTTTTATGTAGCATACATTTTGTTAAATTATGCAGAACCTTCATTTGCAAGTTTAAATATTTTCTTTTAAATTAACACAGGAAAATGTAGAATTATTCCAGCTATCATCTGCCAAACTCTGTCATTCAGCTTGTAGAACACCCTCTATAGATTGCAGCATTGAATCCTAAAGCAGAAAGAAAATTGAATCATTTAATTGCTATTTTCATGGAAAATTTATAAACTCAGCAAGAAACCTCGTGTACGCGTAAAATTGAAATTATAATAATAGAATAAAAATGATCTTACATAATCTTATTTCGGAATAAACTAAGAAATTTTCATACAAAAAAACTATAGGTATCGATTTTAATGCATGCATTAATTCAATAAACTATTATTGTTAAAAAACAAATCTTTCCACAAAACCCAATAAATCATAGAAAAGATTGTAGGCGAATGGAAAAGTGTCACTGTGGTTCTGTTTTGCGGCTTAATGCCCGATAATGAATCAACATTGTGTCCCTTATCGGTGGAGAGATTACCGCCTTCTGGATAATTGATGCCTCCCTTAGGAACTAGTTACCTGTCTAATTCCTGTTACTTTCTCTTCTCCTTACAGAGGCAGCGGTCCAGAAGTATGGGGCAACTGCAATGCACCAAAGGCCATTACCCTGTCCGCTCTCATTTATTGTCTCAGATGCATGGTCGGTCATGACGTTCCACTAAATCAGGTAACATGCCTATTTTATAGATAGATTTTATTTAAAATTTGGTTTACATTGCTGTCTTTTAAATAAATATAATTTCAAAAGTCATGTCATATCAATTTGTATTTTGTAAATTAAACAGACATTTTAATATGTAAAATATGCTGTAGTCAACATTTATTACCATATGACTTTAATAGCTAAAACTAAGTATTTTTCCTTATTCTTTTAAACATTTTAAAATCAAATTAAACTTTACATTTTAAAATTATTTAAAAAAATCTTGGAGAAAAAATTTAGGAGACCCAAACAGATGGTGCCATTAAGAAATCTACCTTTCATTTCTAGACTCCTTTCAAAATATAAGCGCATCCCATCCATTACAGTTCATCTGGACTCGTGTTTTTTTGTTAGGTTGGTGGGTTATGCCAGTTTGACTTAGTATTTTTAGTATTTAAAAAAGGTACTTCTGCTAAAGAATTTAATTAAATTCTTTGACACTGTCAGATTGACAATAATATTTATTATTGATAATTTACTTGTCAACTATAAATAAAAAGATAATAAAAAATAATACTAACGAATTCGAATGTAAAAGCCCTTTTGAGGGCAAAACTTCATTTTGATGAAATTATGCCAAATGCCACAATGGAAGAAAAAGTACATTTGGACATTTTTGGAGTAAAAAAGTAACGAATTTGGTTTTATAAATATTACATCACACATTATTTTCACATTATTCACCATTGGACAACATTTACGTTCACAAAAAATTTTAATTCCTTTTATATAAATTCTTTTCAAAGCGAAGATTATTATCCGCTAGGAATACTTTCTCTTCTGGGCCGTAAAGCAACCTATATTTAACTACTTTTTTATATGATTTTACTCATCCAAGCACCACCAAAGCCAAATTAATTGCATTTTAACTACGAATTTCGGCAACTCAACTTGACAACTGCACAATGTAACCTACAATAATTTATACATAACCACAATTAGATTTATAACTATAGTTATAAATCTAATTGCTTACTAAAGTTCATTTTTTTTATCTGTACTGCGGCAACGTTGAAAATTTAAGGTTTTGATTGGTAATGCGACCAACTTGACAACTGTATTTACCAATCAAAACCTTAAATTTTCAACGTTGCCGCAGTACAGATAAAAAAAATGAACTTTAGTAAACAATTTATATACTTCCCTGTAAAGCAACTTTTGTGTTTTAAAAAACAATAAAAAATGATATATTGTTTACCGAGCGTGGAATCATAGCAATTACTCCCGATGATGAAAGTTTCCACGCGATGCAAACACTATACTTTTTTGTCGAGAGGTGCCAATTATTAATTAATTTTTAGAAAATTAAAAAAAGTTGCGTTTAATTAAAAACTGACGTTTACATTACTAAAGTAGTTCCAATTAAGTTAGTAAGCTTACCTACTTCTATCTATATCTCGAAAACGCTTCCATGAAAAAAAATTAAGTGTGATTTTCGCGTTTAGTGAGCCAAACTACACAAGAAAATAATAGTGAGACATGGTGGGCAATATGGCTGTAAACAAGTGTTATTAACAATTGCGAATACAATCGGCGCATTATTAACCACTCGACAAAAAAGTAAATTTCGATATTTCAAATATATTTATAATTTTTATATTTATAATTTTTATATTTATAATTGAAGCTAATTAGTATCATAAACTAAAACTACCCTTATATTATTACATGATTCATTATCTTTAGAAATCTACTCTGGCCATAAAACTTTATTGAAATCCATAAGTGACAATAAATCGCTCGGTTTTACGGGATTGGCATATTTTAGGGGTGGATGTAAATTTTGCCCACGAATCCACAAAAGATAGTCCAGTACATTTGATAGAGATGTCCTATAAACCTCTAAGTGCTGACATGTGATTGCTTTTCCTGCAATGCAGAGCTTAAATAACAGTTACACAGTAATCGCGTTAAAATCTCCCCGCTTTTATTTTTTGAACTACTGAATTTGGAAACTTTAGTGTTAAACAAGACATTAAATACTCTCTCTAAAAATGAATTAGTCAAAAATGACTAGTTACTACAGTTATTATTGGCTGCTTTTTCCCCAACATTTAACAGCCAATTCTTATGTAAAATTATAATTATCTCCTTAATCCAAAAATACCGTAAAAAATTATGAAAGAAGAGCAGTTTTTGAGATATGGTCAATTCCATATTAAATTGAAAATTTACTATATCTCAAATATTTTATTGTTTCGACCTTTACTTGATGAAACTCCATGTCACCAATGTATATCTGGATAAAAAACAAACACTGTTTTTGAGTTTCACTAATTTATTTCAATTTTATTTGACAATTATTGGCAATGTAGCTTCTTCAGAAATGATTAATTTATTTCTGAAGAAGTTACTGTCAAATAAAATTTAAATAAATTCGTGATACTCAAAAACAGTGTCTGTTTATTATCCAGTTATACAGCCCGTTCAGAGTAAAACTGAATATAGGGAAACGTATCGGGCGTGGCCTCGCCTCCATCCAACGCGCGTCAAAGTAGCTTGTGTAATAAACGACATGACGAAAGGTCGAGCAGGTAAGACGACCTTGAAAATTAAATGATAATAATGCAAAAAATCTTACTAACATTCGCTTAGCTACTGTGTGGCGCGTTGGAGGGAGGCGAGGCCACGCCCGATACGTTTCCTATATTCGGTTTTACTCTGAACGGGCTGTACATCTCAAAAACTGTTCTACTTTTCTAACTTTTGACGACATTTCAGGGATCAGGGGACAACTTTACATGAAATTGACTGCTCATTTTTGACTAATTCATTTTTAGAGAGCTTGTTTTTGACGTAACAAAATATAAAAAAATCAACATCAGCCTCATCTTTACCAATAATATTGGTACCGAAAATACATAAAATGTTTTACAAAAAATATGCTTATCCCATTTTGCGAATTTCGGCTATATTAAAGAAATTGCAAGATGCGCAATATATAATTGCCTAGTTATAAAATCTGCTTATTGTTACGTGAAAGTGGCAGAGAATAATTACAAACAATCACAGCACCTTTTTGAATTCAAAAGGATGCCTTTTGGATTGACAGTTCTGCAAGCTGGTACTCTTTAATATATAGAAGTTTTAGACAGGAATTGAAACTGTATGTATTTCGTACATACATGGATGACAAATATCCCAAACTTCTAAAATCCACCTAAAAACTCTACAGACATTTTAGCCGACTTTTTTACATTGTGTTACTACTAACTTTTAACTACCCAATAATAATAATTTTCCAAACTCTCCCAATTTTTTTTCTTCCTAAGCAGCTTTATCAAGAGCCCAAAATTTCAAAATCTCAATAGAAGAAAGTTCAGGACTATTTGGTGTGTGATTAATCAGGAAATCAAATCATATTGGTAGCATACAAATGTAAAGTCGATAAGCCCAAGGGCCCATTACTTCTCAATTGGAGAAATTGCAGGAAGATTTTGTGGATTTGATGATTAATCAGGACAGCATTTTCCCGTTGCATTGCTGGTTTTTAATTATGTTGGTTCTTACAAAACGTCGGTAATATTATTTATTTTTCTTAACTGCTACTGTTATTTTGCATCCAGAGGTGCGAAATGCTTGCCTTAATTTCTAAACGATTTAATGACATGTTGATAGCTAATATGTCGAATAGGCCAAAGCCTAATTTAAGCAATTAGTTCAGCCTGGGATGTTAAGTAAAAATAAAAATGGGGCAAAACTTTATGGGACACGCCTTATATTAAAATTTCAATTTTGTTGTATTAATATTCAACTTTAAGATTGTTATTAATACTGTAAAGATTTCTCCTTACACCAGGTTCGTTTAAAACAAGTTTTATTACAAATTAATTAATTAACTATTTTGTGACTTTGGCTCGTGATCGTCTTACCCAAGTTTGGACCTCTACGTTGTGTTTACTTACTTGTTTTATTAAATACATTTCTTATAGAATCATACATGGGAGAATTAGGTATACAAAAAATTAAATACAGTGTTTAGTTTACGCCAATTTAATTTACTAAGATAGGACCAGGGAAAAGAGCTAAAGAAAAAACCCTGTTCGGCTATGAAGTAGCACGATTAGGCCTTGTTTCTTTTAAAAGTTTATGCAAATGAATTTGATGACGCGACGCTCGTTACTTTTTCCAACCCCAAAGGTTTAAAAATAGGAAAAAAGTTGTATGTTAACAGGGCAGCTAAATTTTAGTCTGTCAACGTTAACGTTGCCCTGTGGGGAACGAGGTCCACACTGGAGACATCTCGCCTAAAGATAAAGGTCGGGATAAAATTTGCGATGTCGACTAGAGAACCTAGGTGACCATTTATCCCTCACGGCGTGGAGCATTTAAATATCTACTACAAGGCACGTGCACGTGCATTCAAAGTTTACAATTAACGGTCAATGCTCCCTTTTAAGCAACGAAATGTCACGTATCACACCGATATTTGATTTAAAATGACCACAAAAAAATGCAAAATCGTGATAGTAAAGGTCTAAACATTTTAGTTACAGGTACAGTGAACAACTAAATTAAGTTTTAAACAATAATATAAGGAAATCACAATTTTAATTTTTTTACACAGCCATTATTATTATTTTAACCTTAACAGATTTTTAATTCACTATTTTGTTATAATTAATTTTTTTTCTTCAAATATTTTATGTTTTTACATAATACAAAAATTAAACTTAAAGAAAATAACAATTTTATTTTTTTATGTAAAAAATATTTTTCTGGTTTTAATTTTTGATTTTTTTTAATAAAACAACAGATTTGTATTTATCTTATATACAGGGTGTTCCTTAATATCATGTACAAACAAAAGGGGGTGATTCTTTGGCTTATTTTATGAATAAAAGTTCCTATAAACATGGGCCCGCAAACGCTTCGTTACCGATCTACAGGGTGTTAAAGTTTGGAGATTTTTTTAGTTTTTATCTTATAACTTCTGCAGTTTTTGAGATATTTGGCCCAAATTCGGAATATAGGTTGGGATATAAGGCTTACATCATTGGGCATGCCAAATGGTTATAAGAATCTACAGGGCGATACTTTTTTGTATGTCATGCTCCACTTTTTTCCCAAGAACTTTTTTATGGTGCGCTGCTGGTAGATTTTAAAATACAAAATAAGTTTTCTGTTTTGTTTAGAAACTTTTTGGTAACCTAAAGTTTTTTCGTATTTGCGACCGTTATCGAGAAAAATATGTAGAACAAAATTTGTGAGATGAAATTCAAATTTTTAAAAGGGTCTGGTTGGCTTTATTAATAATAACTTATTTTTATTTATTTTAACAATTTATTCTACACTTCTTGTTCAAAACAAAATGCTCTTTGTTAAAATGATTTATTATAATACAAAAAACTTAAATATTTAGAAAAACAAGAAAACTACATTACAACAATTGTTGAAAGTGACCTCCTCCAATTCTCACACAAGCATCTGCTCTTCTTCTCATTGATGCCCTTACTCTTTCAAACACCCCCGGAGTATTTCTTACGGTTTCAAATGCTTCTACTATCCGATTTTGTAAGTCATTTATATTATTAACTGGTGTTGCATAGACTAAAGATTTGAGATGCCCCCATAGGAAAAAATCCAGGCTGTTTAGGTCAGGAGACCTAGGGGGCCATGGCTGAGGTCCACCCCGTCCTATCCACCTGTTTTCATATGCTACATTTAAATACTCCCGAGCCAAAATAGAAAAATGTGCTGGGGCGCCATCGTGCATATACCAAATACGGTTTCTTAGCAAATCTTCTATTAAAAAAGGCAATTCATGTTGAAGAAAATGCTTATATGACTGAGCATTAAGTCGATTAGGCAAAAAGAAAGGACCAATCAAATAATCCCCAATTATACCACCCCATACATTTAACGAGAACTGTTCTTGAAAATGCGTTTCTACAATTTCATGTGGATTTTCTTCAGCCCATATGTGGTTGTTATGAAAATTTATAATTAAGTCTCTAGAAAAGTTGGCTTCGTCGGTAAAAAGGATTTTACAGTCAAAATTAGGGTCTCTTGCTAGCCTGGCAAGGTACCATCGGCAGAAATTAAGCCTTAATGGGAAATCTCGAGGAAGGAGCGCCTGCACCCTTTGAATGTGGTAAGGGTATAGCAGAGAATCACGCAGGATACGCCAAACAACTTGATGACTAATGTTGAAATGTTCACTAATTTTTCTAGTGCTAGTATCTGGATGCTCTTCTATTTCATTTAAAACAGCTTCTTCAATCTGTGGTGTTCTTACCGTATATTGTCTACCTGCATCATTGGTATTCTTTTTAAAAGTTCCACTTTCTGCAAGACGCCTATGAATATTTGTGAATGTTCGATGATCGGGTATTATTCTATTATCGGGATAGCGCTCCATGTACAGGCGTGTAGCTTCTCTTGCATTTCCATCCGCAAGGCCATAGATGAAATGCATGTCAGCCATTTCAGAATTCGTATAATTTGGCATTGTTACGGACTGATAAGAAATTTAATTATAACGAGTCTTTTAAATAATTTTACACCTTGCAGTTTAAAACTTTAAATGCGTGCTGTCAATAGCATCGTTTTTATGTATTTTTTTGATGTTGTAGACAGTGTGTTGTCTGTGATGTTGTATCCAATAGCTACATAAACCATTTTATTTCAGATTTGATATTTAATAAGTAGTGGCAGAAATGAATTCAAATCATGTTTAAAAGAGTACACAATTGTTGTAAGGTAATTTTCTAGTTTTTCTAAATATTTAAGTTTTTTGTATTAAAATAAATCATTGTAACCAAAACCGTTTTGTTTCTAATAAGAAGTATAGAAATATTATTTTAAAAATAAATAAAAATAAATTATTAATAAAGCCAACCAGATTATTTTAGAAATTTGAATTTCATCTCGCAAATGACAACAACTTGTGTTATATTTTTTTTCTCGATAATGGTTGCAGATACGAAAAAACTTTAGGTTACTAAAAAGTTTCTAAACAAAACAGAAAACTTATTTTGTATTTTAAAATCTACCAGCAGCGCACCATAAAAAAGTTCTTGGGAAAAAAGGGGAGCATGACATACAAAAAAGTATCGCCCTGTAGATTCTTATAACCATTTGGCATGCCCAATGATGTAAGCCTTATATCCCAACCTATATTCCGAATTTGGGCCAAATATCTCAAAAACTGCAGAAGTTATAAGATAAAAACTAAAAAAATCTCCAAACTTTAACACCCTGTAGATCGGTAACGAAGCGTTTGCGGGCCCATGTTTATAGGAACTTTTATTCATAAAATAAGCCAAAGAATCACCCCCTTTTGTTTGTACATGATATTAAGGAACACCCTGTATAATATAAGTTAGAAACAAATCTTGATCTTTTATTTTGACGATTATATATTGCTTTCGAATCTATAGTGGTATCACAACCTAAAAACACCACTTGATATACAGGGTGTTTCACATTCGTGGTCCTTTGGAAGTTTCTGGAGAACGGAAAAAATATAAATTTGAAATTTAAAAGCATTTATAATACATTAAGTCTATTTTTTTAAATATTTTGAACAAAAGACAACTTCCGGTTTGACCGGAAGTGACATCAACTTTTTTATAGGACATGGTACAGTAATTTTACTCAAAATTTTATGTAGAATTTAAAAATGTAAAAATATATGGGGTTTTCCATTTAAAATAACAAAGTTGATGTCACTTCCGGTCGAGCCGGAAGTGACATTTTGTTTAAAATATTAAAAAAATAGGCTTAATTGGATTATAAACGCTTTAAAAATTTCAAATCGATATCTTTTGCTGTTCCTCAGAAACTCTCAATGGACCACAAGCGTGAAACACGCGTATTTCGTAAATGTGCAACACCCTGTATAAAATTAAAAATAATTTTAAAATAAATAAATAATCTTAATGGTTGTCTATTTATTCAGTGAATAAATTTTTTCATAAAAATAGGTTCAATTTTTTCTCATGAATATTACCAGTGATGGGTCAAGTTTCTTAAAGAAACTAAGAAAATTGAATGTTTACAATTAATGAAGAGACAAATCACGTCAAAATGGCCTCTCAATTTCCATGCTGCTGGTGGATTTTTTTCAATTTTAACAGAATGATAGGGGGCATTATCCAGCACAATAACAATGTTCTTTTTTATTTTTGGTAAAACATTTTTTATCCAAGTCTCAAAAACGGTTCCATTCATATCCTCATGATAATTCCCTGTTGACTTTTACTCAAATACATTTACACACATTGGGCTTGTCCTGCATTGATCCAAATCTCATCCATGTAATATATTTTTTGATACTGTAACTGATCCGGTAACTTCTGATATCAATATATTTTCTACTCCAAATTACTATTTTACTTGTTTCAGCCAGTAAATGATTCCTACACCTTTTTTTATACTTGAAGCCAAGTTTTTTTTTAATTCTCCATAAATATGTCCGAGAAATTGGTGGTAAGTTATCATCCTTTACGGGCTAAAAAAAAAAGGAAAAACAATTAGTTTATACACAAAACGTTTGTTTTAATAATAAAAACCTATTTATTTAAAGCAAAACCCATTTTTATTATTTGACAGCACCTGGTATACCTACCCCCTATTTTATTTATTATTTACATTTTTCTAATCAATTATTAAATATTTCAAAAGCATAATTACTTACTTGATAAATTTTACTTAAATTTGGTATTTCATTATTTATAAAAAAGTTATGAACAACTTCTTTTGTTCCTCACTCAATTTGTCATATTGACTTGCCCGCTTTCTTTTCTTTAATGGGGATGTAGCCTTTCCGTCATGTTCCATTTGTTTGATGGTAGACCAAATGGTACTTTTTGAAATACTAGTTTCTTCAGATGTTAATATTACACTGGCACTTTTTGACTTTACTTCATCAATATGTTTATTTACCATATTAAAAAGTATTATTCTTTGACCAAATTTGTTTTTTAGGACAGAGGGTTGGTTTTCCACATTGTCCTCATTGTTTATATTGTCCATATTATCAATATTGTCTCTCAAAAAAATAAAAATATTTTTCTTTGGTTATGTTAAGCGATTTTAATGTAATTGACTTGCCTGTTTTTATTAACAACGGTTAATACGTTAAATAAAGCCAAAAAATCACAAAACATGTAATAAATTAACAAAATATACACTTTGTATAACACCTGATTCAATCGAATTGAATGCTACGTTGCCAATGTGCGATAAATCCAACCTTTTGAAAAAAAATTCTTTCTATATTTAAAATATCTTTGACAAATTGACGACAAAAGCTAATATAATATAATTTTATAATTTAAATATTATAAGAACTCTTGCTGGTTTATTGTATAATATTATTATGTCAGTTTGTAAATTTGTTTTTAGAAGCCATGGCAACGCTGTATAATAAAATATTCAGTGTATGAGAACGTACGTTATATCAACATCCAACGTATTAAAATAGATGGGTTATAAATTTTCGCCTGTGTAAAAAAGCCACAATTTTAAGCGTCGTGATTGGTCTATAATAAATCCTATTCAACTCAACGCTTTTTTCTTAAATGGAATGAACTATAGCTGTTATCGAATCTCTTATATTATGTGCCGAATACCGTGGATAATATTTTATTGGATCGCACTTAAAAAAAATGACGTGAACTGAAAAAACGCCGAGACACGGGTATCATTTTTTCAAAATCTATAGAAATTTTTTAAGGGAGGGAAAAAAATCAAATTTTGTCGTACTGTGAAATTGGACCAACGTTTCTTGTATCATCTGGACAACAGATTTTTAGGCAAAGTTCGAAAAACTTGTAACTTTTTTACCTGTGTCCCTTTTTTCCTCTTTTGCAAAGCTTTTTGGCCTTAATATATAAAACTACGTTATTTTTCTTAAAAATAAATTTGTAAACCGAATCAAAGTACGGAACCGTTACAATACGTTTTACGAATTCCGACATTTGTTATTTACAGGGTTGTCTAGCTCCGGTTCAGATCAACATAGCCAAAGGATCAATTCTGGACCCGAGCGATGACGCGGCCGTGGTCGGCGGCAACGTCCTGACGTCGCAGCGCGTCGTCGACGTCGTCCTCAAAGCCTTCAGGGTCTGCGCAGCGTCTCAGGGATGCATGAACAACATCACTTTCGGCAGCGAGTCCTGGGGATGCTACGAGACCGTTTCCGGCGGAAGCGGAGCCGTAAGTTTATAAACGATTTTATTTAGCTCCAATGCTGCCAGACAATCAAACTCAAGCTGAAGTTTCGATCTTACCCCAGTAGCACAAAGATATTGGCCCAATGTTCGTAATTATATTGGGCCAATATATCTTTCGTCAGATTTTTTCTAGCATGATCCAATATTGAAACCCAACATTTATTTCGTTATTTTACCTACATAATAACCTTTTTGATCTACTAAGAGAATAACGTAATAAAAACAATATAAATACCACAAATTTACGTAAAAATAACGCTATAATTACTAACTGTTTGCTTTCTCTTTCTAAAACATTGACATTCGTAATTTCTTTGTTCTTTTAATTTATATTTTACAAAATGGTACTTACAAAGTAATAAAGGCCACCCTAGAGTAAAATTAAAAAATATAACTTAAAATGTCAAAACCAATAATATTTTGCATTAAAACTCAAACGCACATTATTTATTGATAAAAATAGGCACGATACATCTTAAAAATTATATGCCCTCTGAATATTTAACGGTTTTAAGAAAAATTATTGCTTGGGTAAAAATTTAACAAAACTTAAAACCAAAAAAAATTTATAAAATCATTTAGTTTTAATCATTTTTTAATAACTAAAACTTTCCTTATTATATTTTAAAAATATATTTATGGAAAAATATTATATAATATACAGACTTTGTAGAATCAAGTAAATAAGGCTGGACACAAGGATGACAAATTATATTCTGATCAGAGAAAAAGAAACAAACTTTAATTGGGCGTGGTTTAAACCTACAGACCACCAAAACAAATATAATGGTGGTCTGTGTTTAAACCAAGCCATTCGTAATTACGAACCATAGTTGCCAGGTTGTTTTAAATCAGAAGAGAACGATTATAATTATTTAATAAATAGTTTAATTTTATTTGTTTGAAACTTTAAAAATAACAAAACAATTAATAATATGTCAAAAATAATTTGATTTAGTTAATTTTCTTACTTTTAATATTAAAAAATAAGAAAAACAACCCTTTTAGGAAACAATAATAGCATATGGCAACAGCGCGGCACGCAGCCAGATACAAGGGCATGCAGTTTGATCTACTGTTTGTTCAGTAGCTCCGACGCTGTCGTAGGGAAATGTGTATAGTTTTTAAGAAATACATTTTCGCCATTAACTGGAATTTAATGGATTTTAAACAATACTTGGTTTTTATTTGCAGAAATGCATTAAAACAAAACAAACGAATTCGATAAAAATAAAACCTATAAATTCTCAAACAAAAATAATTCTAAAATAACGAAAATAATTCAATCCCTACCACAGTGGGCGGGGTTTGGCACTTGTTTTATTTTTTTATTTAAGTGTATCTATTCGTTTTAATACACACTGTGTATATATAAATGTTTGGATAAGGAATGGAAGCCATCTTAAAAAACTCATTATGGCGACCTGAACAAATTTTCCCTTAAAGTTTTATTTTTCCTTGTTTAGTCAATATTAACAGTATTTATTACCACTAATAACCCTAAAAAATACCAGGCGAATAGGAATTATTTAGTGTTATTAAAATAGGTAAAAATAACATAAATAAAACTTATTAAATAACTTTAAAAAAAGATTCACTGTAAATTTTTAAGTTTATTTAACAAAATATTAATATTGCCTCAAAGCTCTACGTTTTTACTTAAAATGCTGCTTGGGTGGCGGCTGGTGGAATTTATGTATACCAATATCTCAGTTATTAGACATGGGACCCACACCAAATTTATAATAGTTTATAATGACATTAAATAAACAAGTTCGGCGCAAACAGAATTTAAATTAATGTTTGCGAAAAAAAGTTTTTCCTGTCGCCCCACCCGCCTCCAGGCCCCCCTATTTGAGATAATTCAAATTAAAGTTGTGCAATTTATTATCTACTATAATTTATCGACAAATTTAAAATTTTATTTAAAAAATCCAAATATTACAGATTTTATTCGATTTAAAATTTTTATTATTTATTTTATTAAAATAAAAAAATATTTAAAATGGTATAAAACCTGTAATATTTGGAATTTTTTAAATAAAATTTTAAATTTTTCGATAAATTATAGTAGATAATAAATTGCACCACTTTAATTTGAATTATCTCAAATAGGGGGGCCTGGAGGCGGGTGAGGCGACAGGAAAAACTAACTTTTTTTCGCAAACTTCAATTTAAATTCTGTCTTTATAAACTATTACAAATTTGGTGTGGGTCCCATGTCTAATAACTGAGATATTGGTATACCCAAAATCCACCAGCCGCCACTGGCCCGAAGTTGTTTTACATTATATTCTAGTAAAGTTGAGAGAGAAAAAAAAAGATATGCACCTAGTACTTACTACGGTACCTACTATAGTAGGTATAGTAGGTACTTAGGGGCGTAGAAGCGGGACGGGTGGGCATTGTCACCGTAGTAAGTACTAGGTGCATATCTTTTTTTTTCTCTCTCAACTTATATATAAACATTTCCTGAAAACAAACGTTTGTCGACACGATCGTGATATATTACTTTTAGAAATCCTACTACGTAGTAAGTACTAGGTGCATATCTTTTTTTTCTCCCTCAACTTTCCTTGAATATAATGTAAAACAACTTCTATGTTGTTCTTAATTACGATGAAAGCTAAAATCGTTTGTATCGTTTGCTAAAATGATCAGCTTGAGCTTTATTAACGTAATAACGAATTTTATTGCTAATAAGACAAGAAATCCATATTACCCTTTTTATTCTTATGGTAATATGCAAGAATGGCCTTTATTGTTTTCACCCATTTGATGCTAAACAATAAGGATGGTAGTCGGTTGCGCCACCCCCCAACTTAAAACCGTTCCTGCGACACTAGTATAGACATATCCTGGAAACAAAAGTTTGTTGTTACATACCACTTTTAGAAATCCGAAAGCATCGTTGATGTTAATGATATATTGGACCAACTTTGGATAAACATTGGCAAGATATATTAAATTATCATTTTATGCCAATATAGGCCTAACTAAATAAATCCAATATTGGCCCAGATAAAATATTGGGCATAGACGCGCCGCATATAGGACCAATGTTTTGTGCTACTGGGGTAACTTACTTTGGAAACCTGAAAAGGAAACATGTAGATTCGGTAGCAATTTTGAATCTACATTTTCAGGGTCCTTCTTGGCACGGCTGCTCCGGCGTCCACACGCACATGACCAACACCAGGATAACGGACATCGAAATATTGGAGCGCCGTTATCCCGTCCACGTGAAAAAATTCCATCTTCGTCCTGGTACAGGAGGAAAAGGACGATTCAACGGCGGCGACGGAGTGCTAAGGGAAATCATGTTTAGATCGCCATTAACCCTTTCCGTCCTGACTGAAAGAAGGGTCCTGCAGCCTTATGGAATGGAAGGTAAGGTTTTAAAATGGCCTGTTCCAACAGGAAATTTAATTACACTCGAGAACTCTTAAAAATTCACTGCGTTTTTTTTTAACTTATTACTGGGATACCTTTTAAGCCTGAATTATAGATTGCCTTCCTTCCTTCCTCCCGTAGTCGTGCCCGTACGATTTGTGCGTCTTGTAAAAAGTCAATTTATAGATTTCCGTGTAAAATTCCGTAACCATGCGCGATGAGACCTAAAATGGTTGACATTTATTTTTGTTTATATTTTGCGTTTTACCCATTGTGTGTAAATATGAATGATAAACATTTATATATTAGTGCAGTGATCACAATTTTAATTGCCCGGGCAGCTTGTTGTATACTGCCCAACTATGGAGAAAGGCAGAACTGCAAAACAAGAAATTTGTGGGAAATTAGCATAAACTACATTTTTATAAAAAGCAGTAGGTATTTAACTGATTTATTAAACATTTCTTTGTTGAATTAAGATACAAAATGTCCATAGCTTTATCATAGCACAAGAAAACGCATTTGGAATTTTTTGACTTAGTCATTTTCAAAGTCATTTTCAAAATGATTTGTATTATTAAGCTTTTTCTACATTTGCGTAAGGACTTAAGTCTTTTTAAAATGACTTAAAACAAAAAAATGACTTAAGTCTTTTTAAAATGACTTAAGTCTAAAAATGATTTAAATCTTTTTAAAATGACTTAAGTCTAAAAATGATTTAAATCTTTTTAAAATGACTTAAGTCAAAATAATGATTTAATTCTTTTTAAAATGACAAAATAGGTAAGAATTAAATTCTTAAAAAAATAAATAAATATTGATTTAATAATTTTTAAAATTACTATTTTGATGGTCTGAACGTTGCGTCGAGGTAAAATTGCATGTTAAAAAATTGTCTCTGCACGTTTAATAAATGTGTGTCGTTTCTTTATATAAGTTTTAATATTGCGGTAAGTTTAATATAATATTATATATTATGTTGTATTTAAACATTTTAGATACAAATTCAAAGGGGTGGTACGTAAAGTAATTTGATATAATATATTGATACCCACGTTCTAATATGTCGTCTCCCACAGAATTTGACAAATTAACTTTTTTAAAAATTGAATCGTAATAATGTTGTGCAGCTTATGTTATAATTTTTGAGGTCAAATTGTTTATTATTTAAATAAATATTCTTATGTCGTATCTCACACGCTGATTTTCACAAATTCTAATTTGTCGTATTCGACATCCTTAGGCAAGCAATGTGACACTGTCACGCTTGACTCTGTGATTAGTTTTAAGTTAATTTTAACAAAGTTCTTGAGGAAGAAGGTATTACCTTCAAGGTACTAACGATATACTAACGATATATCAATACCATTTTGGCAAAAAAACGTATGTGTAAATGCAAATTTTACAGGAACGAGGTTTTTGTATAATATACTTTCCATTTGTTTAAAATTCCTAAAGTTTTGGTATTTTTGAAATTTGCAAAGTTGGATATTACATAAAATTAACAAAAAATTAAATTTTTGCAATAATAATAATAATTATTGCTTGTTTAGGCGTTCTAGAAATCTCGCCTAGGAACCTCGTCGCCTGGTTCTAGTCGTTGAACATTTTGGAGGTGGTATAGGTAAAACTTCTCTTTATTTAAAGTCCTATTCTGTGGTCCTATTGTCAAGACAATAGGTGTGGGTATAGTATAGTATCCATGAAAGTTAATCGTCAAATAAACTTAACAATTGAAAAATTGGCGCTTATTTTGTTAAGTATTTTGGGCTTTAAATTAACTGCTGGTGACTTTGAAAATGATACATAATGTTGTAATGTTTTATTTTTAATGCTTATTTAAAAGTTGAGTTAATTATTTTATATTTTTTTGGTGTGATTATGGATAAAATATTTTTTACTCAATTTTTTTTAATGTCCACAAAACAAATAATTACGGTCTTGAAGCTTCACTAGAATAAGTAAACATTTTTTTAAATTGCAAAAAAACCTTAACTGATGATTTCAAATCGGTTAGCTTGCTGAAAAATTAAAAACTGTAAAATGTTTCGATAATTTTTTTTGAAACGCCTTGATGGTGCCGTTAAATTTTATTGGCCATTTTGGTAAAACTTTTCATGCTCTTTCAGAACCTGACTTTGGATTTTAGAAAAAAATATATACAAGGTGTTTTTAGTGGGAAAAAAATAAAAAAAAAATTTAGGTCCGGTCCTGATTTTTTTTTGAATGTCCGATACAGCGCTGTGCAGGTACTTTATACTTAAGTATGTATATAAAATTTTATGCGATTCTATTGTTCCATTCCCAAGATATGATTTTTCAAAATTTTCGACAAAATACATAAATCACCCTGTAACTCTTAAACGAAGGACCTCCGAATTTTTTCAAAGCCAGATTTGGATTCACCTCTAAAAACTACACATACCCTTAAGCTATGTCGGTTTCCTCATGCAACACCATGTATAGAGGCTTAAATTGTTACACGCTTGAAAAAATTGACATAATCAAATTAAAGCTAGTCCGTCCCTGGCGAACTAAATACGCCAAAGGTGTTTAAAAGTTAACTATAGTTATAACTAGTATTTTTTATATTAAAAAATTATTAAGTTACTTTAAAAGTTATTAAACAATTTTCACATAAGTTTTAAAATAAGCAAACTGTAATTTATGGATAGCACCCAGGACCGGATCAAACCGGATCCAATTTTTCATGGTACTAACACACCAAGGTACTAACTTTCTGATCATGACAAAATTTGAGCTCCGGCTCGTGGAGGTCCTAAACAAAATCATTTTTTAAAAATTAGAATAATTTTAGAAAATGCAGTTTTACTCAACTAACTTTAATTAAAGATAACATAAGTTTGATTACATATATAATAAATATGTTTTCCCTAAAAAATCGTTTTATCCACCTAAAATAAGTAATTCATTTAAAAATAGCATATACTTTAATGATAATTAAAAAAATAATATTTGAAAAAGTACCTTTTTTACTGGTTACTTGAAATGGAAAAAATCACTTCAAGAAAGTTCAAATTTGACCTTCTCTACTAAATCAGTTATGAAATTTAAGAAATTTGTTATATGTTTTTAACATACCTTTATTAGTTTACTAATGAAAAAAATTTAAATTTACTCAAATATATTAATGTAGATTTTATAGGATTTGGCCAGCTTTTTGGGCATTTCCAACACTGTGTGCCAGTACATTATTATATACAATACAATAATTGACTAATTAAGTGATCAACTTTTTGTTATGCAACTATTTTAAAAATAAATTTAATTAAAAGTCTTGTCAAAGAGTATCTATTAGATATATACTCTTTGATCTTGTTTTGAATCTCTCAAAATGAGTAAGGTATTTGTTTTTTTTTACTTAAATCTTTTTTTTTTTTTCGACTTAAACCTATAAAACGACTTAATTTTTTTTTTTAGATTTAAGTCGTTATATATTTGATTTAAGTCATTTTTAATAAGACTTAAGGCTTAAAAAAAGACTTAAGTCTTTTTAAAAGGCTTAAGACTTAAATCTTTTCTGTTTTATAGAAAAAATGACTTAAGACTTAAGTCATTTTTATTTCAAAAAAGACTTACGACTTATGACTTAAGTCTTTTTAGAAGTGACTTGTGACAGCTCTGTGTATGGGTCAGGAGGCTATTCCGTAATTTCCTTTTCATTTTCTATTGGGCCGTTTCCGGAAAAAGCATGGACAAATGCACATATTGAATCCGGTAGCGTCCGATAGATTATTTTTTAAAGGTCTCTATAATCTCCAACATTATCATGTATTCGGCAGTTGAATACATGCCAAAAACTTTTTTTTAGAAAAATAACGTAGAAATACTAACCAAAAGTTTTAAAACTTCTAATAATGGTTTTTGAAAAAGCTTGTCAGTCTTAACGTGTCAAAATGTTAAGGCTCGTTCACATATTTTTTGTATATTGGTCAATTTCAAACCTCTTTATTTACAAAACAAAGAGGTTTTTCCCCTCTTAGGCAGCAGCCCTTTCCCGATGGGGCGCGACCACCCTGTATGCAGTAATAATAACGAACATACCACAACAAAATGTGAAATGAAAGTATGGTAAAAAAAATAATGCTTTGTTTTAGACACTTGTTCAACATTCGCTGCATGGGTTCTTTTATTTTCACTCTCCATTTTCACTTGCTCGAAAATCTGTTTACCCACGCCCGGAAGCTAGAAAATAGATTCCGGTTAACGTTCTAACGCTGCGTGACTAATGAATAAAACGTTCTCGCATTCAAAGTTGTCGCGTTTCCACACAAACGTCTCCGTTTGTGTACACGTACGCTGTACAATGTACATATACATAAAAGATTCCCTTTCATTGGCGGTTAGCAGGCGTTTAAAAAGCCTTGAATTTAGTGTTTCCAAAGTTATTTTTAGTTACCAAGTTATGTGCAATGCACATTGTGCATGTATGAAAAGAAGAACATTCCGTAAAAATGTATAGGTTCAAAATATTATTTTATATTAATTAATACGTTGAGTGGGAAAATAAGAGGGAAATATGGAGATTTTATAACAAAATTATATATCAATATTTCAACCATAATTCTTGTAATTTTAAAAAAGGACCCCATTTTTACAAACCTTTTTGTAGACCAAGTAACAAAAGAATTTGTTGGAAATTGGGAACTTAAATGAAAAGAATTTTGATAAGAAATGTTGCTTTCTTAATCAGTTTCCTAAACAAAAAAAATAACACATACCTAGATAAATGAACACAAAAATAACACACACAATTAAATACCATACCATTTTGAAATCATTAAATTATAGAGAAATTTGGTACAATATAATTATCAGTACTACCACAACACTGATATATTTCGTAACTTTAACCAACTTCACTGTATACCTTAATTGCAGTTTGAAAACCAGTAATGGTATCTTTTTTCGGATACATCGCACTCACGGTGTCCCTGAATAACTTTTAATTGAAAGGTTCAGACGTATCCGATTTT